TGATTCCGGCTGCGGCTTTCAGGCTGTGGCAGCTGCGGTGGTGTCGGATGGCTGAAAAGTTTTCCTATCATGTGGCTTGTTGTGAGGGTTATTCCAGCTACGTAACTAAAGTAGGTGGTTTCCCTTCAGCCTGGGATGTACTTCAAAGCTGTTGACCTTTTAAAATGTTAGCACTCAGTTTCAACCTACAATGCAGGTGCCAGAAATTGTTAAACAAAAAGACCTGTCACTATATGTCGCCCGAATAGACAGATGAACAAAGATCCATGAATTACAATTCGATTATTTGGTGGGAATCTACTGTTCAACTCATACCAGGAAGTGTGAAGCGTAGTCAGAAAATCTTGGCGCATCTGCGGAACAGGTTTAACCATCATGTTGAAAAATCACATCGTTCCTGTAGATGACACTAGAAGAGAACGATCACAAACATTTCCGTCTCTCCTCTGTTGCAGGATCCAAAATGTTGGAGTATAGCGGCTCCACATGGCACGAGGACTGCTTCGTGTGTCACGGCTGCGAGAAGCCCATCGGCGCCGAGGCCTTCATCCCAGCCGAAAACAATTACTACTGTGTGCCGTGCTACGAGGGCAGGCTTGCTCCTCGGTGCAGCCACTGCAATAAGGTGAACCTGGCCTCACATCGCAATTTTGCCTTTTGAGTAGAATAAACAGAAACTATATCGACTGCAAGTTAGAACTCGGTCAACTCCAGAAATTCCTTCAAATCGCTTCATGCATTGAAATGTGTTTTTGACCTGCAGGCTCTGACTAAAGGAGGGGTGACCTACAGGGACGAGGTGTGGCACAAAGAGTGCTTCGTCTGCACGGGCTGCAAAACCACTCTGGCCGGCCAACCTTTCACCTCCGAGGGGGAAAATCCTTACTGTGTCAAGTGCTTCAGCAGCCTCTATGCCAAAAAATGCGCCGGCTGCAACACGGCCGCATTGAAATGTGTTTTTGACCTGCAGGCTCTGACTAAAGGAGGGGTGACCTACAGGGACGAGGTGTGGCACAAAGAGTGCTTCGTCTGCACGGGCTGCAAAACCACTCTGGCCGGCCAACCTTTCACCTCCGAGGGGGAAAATCCTTACTGTGTCAAGTGCTTCAGCAGCCTCTATGCCAAAAAATGCGCCGGCTGCAACACGGCCATCACAGGTCAGTCCAGCTCGCGCCAAAACTCATTTCCAGCGCTTTGTCCGATTGAGCCTATGTCAATCTGATCGACCCATCCCACTCAAAATCGGAATGTGCCCCCCACAGGGTTCGGCGATGGCAAATACATTTCTTTCGAAGAGCGACAGTGGCACCAGCCCTGCTTCAAGTGCTCCCGGTGCTCCGTGTCATTGGTCGGCTCCGGCTTCTTTCCGGACCGTGACCAGATTCTGTGTACGGACTGCAACAATGACGACTGATTGAACCACAAAAGTTCCAAAATTTCAGCGGTGCACATGAACACTGCAAATGCCCCAGTTCGTTCACTCGTAGCTTATCCAACTCCTTGGGCATAACATGTATTTGATCATTGAACCCGTCATTATAATGAATGTCATATATGTAATCAAATAGTTTAACTCCATCCCTTCTGTCATATTACTTCTTAGACTCATATGAGACTGAGCTCCTCCCACTCTGCTTCCCAAGAATAGCACTCCCATGCGAATGGACTCTTACAATTACCCCAGTAAACCGTAAAAATATTTACAGTTCAGCACCCCTGTTCCGAGCATGCTTACATAATCATGACCTCATGATGTTGAAATACCACCGCTTCATCTTTCAAGGACTATTTTCACTCATAATTCTAAGGTAAGCTGACTTTTTTTTAATATCTCATTGTTAACGTTTTCTTGACCACTGTTCCTCTCTTAGCAGGATTATGCAAAACTACCGCGGAAAAAAAAAAAAAGATTTGAAATAATGTCAATGTGAACACATGACCTCCCCTTAAGTCTGTGTTATTTCATCATTCTCCCAAACGTGTGGTTGTCACGCGGTGACTTGAGCAGCCTTCCACTTCCTGCTTCTGAGCGCCATTTTTGACCTTTACTCCAACAAGCCCCGTCAGCCTGACACTGCGCTCGGGTTCTTATCCACTCCTGATGAAAAATAAATAATAAAAGGGCCATGTGGTACCGTTTCGTTTTTTTATTTATTATTTATTTTTTTTATGTCTTGTGTGTGTGTGTGTGGGGGACCGGTTTCCCAGACCTCATCCTGAAATATATTTGACCTTGTTTGAGGCAGTGAAGGAGAACAGGACTTGTTTGCTCTCCGGAGGATGAGGAGGAGGAAGGAGATGGTGGAAGCTCCACGGCAAATATTCACAGAGTCGTGTCATCCTGCCTCAGCCTCTGTGGACTCCGACCCATCTGGTGGAGGCCGTTTAGGTCATCGTCACTGACTGACATAAGCGCGAAAAAAAAAAAAGAGGCAACTATGGGTTCAGTGGGATTCAAAGACAGCAAAGTCCCCACTCAAGACCCAGGTATCCAATGCACACTCTGACACTGCAATATACAGAAATTAACTTCAGAAATTTGAAGTTAAATTTTTGGGGTTTTTTTTACAGTCAAATGGAAACTGGTTGAATCACTCTCATGCATTTTGTTTTCATGAGTAAAAAATGTCATGCAAATTCCAAGAGCAGCTTTTAAAAATGTCGAAAACAAAGCGGGTCCGATTACATGTCACTCGAACCCAACAATTTTCTACCCCCCCACCACCGCAATCACAAACGGCTTCAGGCCACAGACTGCCATTTCCTCTCTGCACTCAGGAGGACAACCAAAATAAAAGTCCCATCCAGTGACTCTCTTGATAATTACTGTATAGCTGCCGTCCTAACACAACTCTTCGAGTCATCCGGTTCCATCTTAGGAATCCTGCTCAGCTCCACAAATTGCAATTAAAATCAACTCATACCAGGAAGTGTGAAGCGTAGTCAGAAAATCTTGGCGCATCTGCGGAACAGGTTTAACCATCATGTTGAAAAATCACATCGTTCCTGTAGATGACACTAGAAGAGAACGATCACAAACATTTCCGTCTCTCCTCTGTTGCAGGATCCAAAATGTTGGAGTATAGCGGCTCCACATGGCACGAGGACTGCTTCGTGTGTCACGGCTGCGAGAAGCCCATCGGCGCCGAGGCCTTCATCCCAGCCGAAAACAATTACTACTGTGTGCCGTGCTACGAGGGCAGGCTTGCTCCTCGGTGCAGCCACTGCAATAAGGTGAACCTGGCCTCACATCGCAATTTTGCCTTTTGAGTAGAATAAACAGAAACTATATCGACTGCAAGTTAGAACTCGGTCAACTCCAGAAATTCCTTCAAATCGCTTCATGCATTGAAATGTGTTTTTGACCTGCAGGCTCTGACTAAAGGAGGGGTGACCTACAGGGACGAGGTGTGGCACAAAGAGTGCTTCGTCTGCACGGGCTGCAAAACCACTCTGGCCGGCCAACCTTTCACCTCCGAGGGGGAAAATCCTTACTGTGTCAAGTGCTTCAGCAGCCTCTATGCCAAAAAATGCGCCGGCTGCAACACGGCCATCACAGGTCAGTCCAGCTCGCGCCAAAACTCATTTCCAGCGCTTTGTCCGATTGAGCCTATGTCAATCTGATCGACCCATCCCACTCAAAATCGGAATGTGCCCCCCACAGGGTTCGGCGATGGCAAATACATTTCTTTCGAAGAGCGACAGTGGCACCAGCCCTGCTTCAAGTGCTCCCGGTGCTCCGTGTCATTGGTCGGCTCCGGCTTCTTTCCGGACCGTGACCAGATTCTGTGTACGGACTGCAACAATGACGACTGATTGAACCACAAAAGTTCCAAAATTTCAGCGGTGCACATGAACACTGCAAATGCCCCAGTTCGTTCACTCGTAGCTTATCCAACTCCTTGGGCATAACATGTATTTGATCATTGAACCCGTCATTATAATGAATGTCATATATGTAATCAAATAGTTTAACTCCATCCCTTCTGTCATATTACTTCTTAGACTCATATGAGACTGAGCTCCTCCCACTCTGCTTCCCAAGAATAGCACTCCCATGCGAATGGACTCTTACAATTACCCCAGTAAACCGTAAAAATATTTACAGTTCAGCACCCCTGTTCCGAGCATGCTTACATAATCATGACCTCATGATGTTGAAATACCACCGCTTCATCTTTCAAGGACTATTTGCAAACTAATAAAAGCCACCCGAAAAAAAAAAAAAGATTTGAAATAATGTCAATGTGAACACATGACCTCCCCTTAAGTCTGTGTTATTTCATCATTCTCCCAAACGTGTGGTTGTCACGCGGTGACTTGAGCAGCCTTCCACTTCCTGCTTCTGAGCGCCATTTTTGACCTTTACTCCAACAAGCCCCGTCAGCCTGACACTGCGCTCGGGTTCTTATCCACTCCTGATGAAAAATAAATAATAAAAGGGCCATGTGGTACCGTTTCGTTTTTTTATTTATTATTTATTTTTTTTATGTCTTGTGTGTGTGTGTGTGGGGGACCGGTTTCCCAGACCTCATCCTGAAATATATTTGACCTTGTTTGAGGCAGTGAAGGAGAACAGGACTTGTTTGCTCTCCGGAGGATGAGGAGGAGGAAGGAGATGGTGGAAGCTCCACGGCAAATATTCACAGAGTCGTGTCATCCTGCCTCAGCCTCTGTGGACTCCGACCCATCTGGTGGAGGCCGTTTAGGTCATCGTCACTGACTGACATAAGCGCGAAAAAAAAAAAAGAGGCAACTCTTGGTTCATGTGGATACAAAGACAGCAAAGTCCCCACTCAAGACCCAGGTATCCAATGCACACTCTGACACTGCAATATACAGAAATTAACTTCAGAAATTTGAAGTTAAATTTTTGGGGTTTTTTTTACAGTCAAATGGAAACTGGTTGAATCACTCTCATGCATTTTGTTTTCATGAGTAAAAAATGTCATGCAAATTCCAAGAGCAGCTTTTAAAAATGTCGAAAACAAAGCGGGTCCGATTACATGTCACTCGAACCCAACAATTTTCTACCCCCCCACCACCGCAATCACAAACGGCTTCAGGCCACAGACTGCCATTTCCTCTCTGCACTCAGGAGGACAACCAAAATAAAAGTCCCATCCAGTGACTCTCTTGATAATTACTGTATAGCTGCCGTCCTAACACAACTCTTCGAGTCATCCGGTTCCATCTTAGGAATCCTGCTCAGCTCCACAAATTGCAATTAAAAAAAAAAAAAAAAAAACCTTGTCAAATTTCCCGACGTGACAGGAAGCGCTCTTAACTCATCCAGTCGGCATGTGCCTCCTTAGTCATCCGCATCAGAAAGTGGAACGCGGTGTAATGTGATCGGAAATATTTCCAGAGAGGGCTTAGAGGTACTCAGTCGCCAAAGTCCCTCTCTGTCTACTCAGCGACGACTCTTAAGGGCAAACGAGATAATGATACGTATTTATCTGAGGTGTCAAATTCATTTTCAATCATGCCTTCGCTCAGAGGGCCGTTATGACTGTGCCACAGGGGAGCGGCAAAGCACTATTTTTGGTGAAATTAAACTCCTCAACTCATTTCTAAATCGCTCCTTGACATCCAGACACCAGAAGATTGCTACAAAGCACTATTTTTTTTTCTTTCTTGAGAAAGAAAACTTTTTTTCTTACTCACCTTTTAAACCAATACAAATGTATCTCCTTGACATCCAGACACCAGAAGATTGCTACAAATCACAATTTTTTTTTTCTTTCTTCTCAATGAAACTCACCTTTTAAACCAATACAAATGTGCCCAACGTGTCTTATTAAACCTCTGGACGGTGTCACTTTTCAGTTCGACCCTATCTTCACTCAAACTTGACACATTTGAATTAAAAAAAAAAAAAACATCACTGGTATTTTATTTTCTTGAAAAACACAATGACAAAAAGAATACAGATATTCATAGTTTTATTACCTTCCTTCCGAATAAAGATTTAGCAGCGACTCGTGTATCTAACTGAAAACAGACACAATGTATCGAGGTGTTGCTAGGCTAAATTTTCACAGTCAAATGCTCAGTCTTCAGGTGACTGCTTTCATAATCTGGTTTATGCAAGCGCGAAACTGTATCATTATCGGTCTTAGCTTCAAATGATCTGTTTATGTTGATCCCAACCTGGCGCCCTGCAGGGCTCAAACCATCAAAGCATAAACAACTGCCACCCCCCACCCAGACTGCACCCCCATTGCCCTTCTTTTTGACCTCAACTATAACCGTATGTTGCACAACAAGCTATGTATAACCGTGACAGAATCTCTCCAGACAAACCATAATTATAGTGGAAAAGCGGTGTCTCCAGTACATTTTGGAATGATCCCGCACGACACCAGCTTTTCAGACCACCTCCGCGCCCAACGCCAGCTAATGGCCTCGGTAACTGAACCGTCAGTCTAACGTTTCTGACCCTAAAATGAACAGTTTGAAGGCCTCGTTGCTCCCGTGTCGGAAAAGTACTGAAGAAAGGGGTAAGCCAAATGAAACGTGACTCTAGGATGGGAAAGGCAGTCAGTCGAGCTGCATGAAACCAGGGAATGTATTTTGGAGACTTGACAGTTTATCCATCACCGCTTCTGCCAGCAGAGCATTAAGTTCTCTGTTACAGTTTCCAGCTTCTTTGTCATGCGGATGGGCTACTTTTGGCGCGTGAAAGATTAGGGGTGTATTTGGAACGTTAATGCTATGCTAAATAAAACCACACGCCAGTGTCAAGCCTCAATCTACTTTTATTTATTTTACGTATTAATTTTTTGTCCAATGAGATTTCAGCCTCTTCGTTGCCACGTTCGACGTAATCTGCCCGTAAGGTTTCAGAATTGGCCAATGTTAACTTAAAACTATTCTCATC